CGTAGCTGCCACGGGGATCAGCAGTGCAAGCTCAGATATGTACGAGCACGGCGGGCTGAGAGAGCCCAGCGCTTAGGATGCTTGCCTCGTAAATGGCCCGCCCTGGTCTGGTCCCCCCCCCCCCCCCCGACACCACCAGGGGTGACCCCTGAGCACAGTCCTGAGTAAGCCCCGAGTACCACCGGGTGTGTGGCTCCTGCCCAAAATATCGGCTCCGACTCTTTTGTTTGTTGTTGCTGCTGTTGTTTTGGGGGAGCATCTGGTGGTGCTTGGATTTGCTCCTGGCTCTACGCTCTCAGATGCTCAGGGATCCTTCCTGTGCTCAGGGCGGAGGCATGGGGGGATCCTCTGCCGTGCTGGGGATTTGAACCTGGGTGGGTGGCAGGCAGAGCGCCTGAACCCCTGGGCTATCTCTCTTGCCCCTCTGGCTTGTGTGACCCAGCCCTGCCTGGGACGGCCCTTTCTACATCCCTGAGTGGGGTTCTCAGGTGCGGGGGCGGGGTAGTGTGCAGGATTGAGAAGAAAAGGGACTCTGGGACCCTGTGTAAGTCTTATGCACCCGAATCCATCAGCCCTGCTCTCTCTCTCTCTCTCTCTCTCTCTCTCTCTCTCTCTCTCTCTCTCTCTCCTCTCCCTCCCTCTCTTCCTCCCTCCCTCCTTCCCTATCTACCACCCACCCCTTCTCTCTTCCCCTCCCTCTCTTCCTCCCTCCCTCCTTTTCTCTTTCTCTCCCTCTTTCTCTCCCCTTCTCCCTCTCCCTCCGCCTTTTCCTCCCTTCCTCCCTCCCTTCTTCCCTATCTACTCCTCTCTCTCTCCCCCTCTCTCTCTTTCTCTCCTACCCCCTCTATCCCTCCCCTCCCTCAGTCCTCCCTCTCTTTTCCTCTCCCTCTCTTCCTCTCCTCTCCCTCTTCCTCCCTCCCTCCCTCTCTTCCTCTCTTCCTCTTTTCCTCCTTCCCTATCTTCCCCCTCTCTTTCTCCCTCCCTCTCTCTCTCTTTCTCTCCCATCCCTCTCTCTGTCTCTTTCTCTGTCTCTGTCTCTCTCTCTCCTCTCTCTCTCTCTGTCTGTCTGTCTGTCTCTCTCTGTCTCTTTCTCTGTGGCGCATGTGGGGTCCAACCCCAGTCTCATGCATGCAAGCCATGTGCTTTACATCCCGGCCAGGGATCTCCTGTAAGCTGCCGCCTCCCAGCTGTCTCCAGATTGTGTCCTGGGCTCTCCCCTTTGCCTGGGCTCCTCTCTGAGGCTGCCCTGCTGCTGCCACCCAGCCCCCCCCTCCATGTCCATGGCAGATAGTACCCACCCCCCTCTGCCCCGGCTCTCCACTTCCATTGCGGGCGGCGTTGCAGCCTGCTGTCCTCCTGCTTCCTGACGTCTTCTTCACGTGGGGCATGGAGCAGATGTGCCAGGGTGGCCGGTCTCGGGGACCCCCCTAAAGTGGCCATCAGCAGCACACCAGGGCAGGAGAGGTGCATCCGAGCACCCCACTCTACTTGTGTGGTCCCGCCTCATTCTCTCCAGGCCCCCTGTAAAGGGACTTTATGAAACCTCAGAAGTGCTGGGAGGGGAAGGGGGAGAAGGAGGGTCCAGAGAGAGCCCCAAGGGCTGAAGGCAGGCTCAGGCACTGCATGCTTCCTGCTGGGAGCGACCCCCAGACAGTTGGGAACAACCCCTGAGCACCGTAGGAGGGGCCTGAAGGATGGCAGAACAGCTTCTTCTCTTCTTTTTGATTTTTGGGTCACACCCAGTGGTGCTCAGGGGTTACTACTGTCTCTGCACTCAGGAATGACTCCTGGCACTGCTTGGGGACCATATGGGCTGCTGGGAGTCGAACCAGGGTCGGCCGCATGCAAGGCAAACACACCCGACCCCCAGTGCTGTTGCTCCGGCCCCGCAGCTTCGAGCAGCTTTGCCCAGGCGCAGGGCCTGACTCACCTCCTGGTGCATGCCGTGCCGGGGCCCTGCGTGATTATCAGCCGCTGTCTGTGCTGCGCGAGGGCCCTGGAGACTGGGGGGAGTGTGAGCAGCAGCCCTCGCCAAGGCAGCTGGAGCAGCACCTCGAGGACGACGCTGATGCCCGCAGAGAGGGGAGGGGAGTGAACCTCACGGTGTTTGCCACCCTCGTGGGCTCAGACCGCCAGGAGGAAGTGTCCGTGCCCGCGTGGACCAGCCGGGGAGCCCCAGCACTCACCAGCATGTGCCCATGTGCTGCGGGCCGGCGTATTAGCTAGTGTGGCCTCTGCTGTTGACCGCACTGAGAGCGTGCGGGCGGACTGGGCCGGATCCGATCAGCTTCAGTGGCCCAGTGGCCCAGGGCTTGGAAGCAACAGGGAAATGTGGTTCTTAGTCACAGGAGCCCAGACGCTCACAGCTGTCACCTGGCTCCAGATTGCGTGCAGCGGGGGTGGGGAGCAGTGGGCTTTGGGGGATGGATGGTTGGGGGCAGCCAATTCCTGCCAGGCCTGGGGCTAGATCTAGGAGGGAGGAAACAGGGAAAATAGGGTTATTGCTGGATCTTTGATCTAAGGTTTAGTAGTTCTTGTTCTCTCTCTCTCTCTCTCTCTCTCTCTCTCTCTCTCTCTCTCCACCTCCTTCCCCACCTCCCCCCACCTTATAAATAAGTGTTTCTGTGATCAAGGCTCCCCTTTTTTTTTTTTTTTCATTTAGCAGAGAGTTCGTGTTTATTCATTTCTTGGTGCTTTTCAAGTAAAACAACAAAAAAACTTAGCTTCCTTCATATCTTTGTTTTTTCCTTTCTACTCTTTACAATCATTTTCTCCAACTGCCTGTGAAAAAATGTTTATCTCTACGTACATAATATATATATATATGTATACATTCACATACAGATGTCGTTTAAGATTAAAATATGTCTATGGATGGAGGTCTTTCGTGTTATTTTGAACAGGGGGTGGGGTTGGGTCCTACCCAGTTGTGTGCTCCTGGCTGGTTCTGTGTTTTGGGGAGTCATTCCTGATGATGCTGGGGGTGAGGGGATCTTTTGGTGTTGGGGGTGGAACTGGGTCTGGCTACAGACCCAGGCAAGTCCCTTCACCTCTCTTGTCTCTGACTTTCCTCCCCCCTCCATCCATGCAGTGCTGGGATTGAACCCGATTTCTTGGTGATAGTCTGCCGCTGAGCTGCAGGCTCTGGTTTGAATTTTTTTCGCCTTTAATTGTCCGTGACTCTCCACTTACTAAAGTTAAAATAGTTTCTATATTTCATGGGGCTTGAGCAGGTGGAGCTTCGCTGGGTGCTTGCCTTGCACGCCCCCAACCCCTTTCAATCCCTGGTATCCCATATGGTTCCCCTGAGCATCGCCAGGGGTGATTCCTGAGTGCAGAGCCAGGAATGACCCCTGAGCATCTCTGGGTGTGACACCTGCGGTCCCCCTCCCTCCATTTTCCCTTCCTCGACATGGTACAGTGAGTAAAGCAGTTGTCTTGCACATGGCTTGTTCAGGTTTGGTTGCTGGCCCTGCACATTGTCCCCTGAGCAGCACAGAGCCAGGAGTAGGTCCTGAGCACAACTGGGTGTGGCCCCAAAGCAGAACAAAACAAAAGTCCCTAATTCTTGAACCCAAATGTAAGTCAGGGGAATAGTAACAATAACAGTAATAATAATAATAATAATAATAATAATAATAATGTGTCATTACAGACTCATTAATTTGTGTCTAGTGTTCTACACTGCTGTGTGATGTGACTACTAGGAGGGAAATGAATTTGGGGGATTAAAGGGACATGTGGGGGGAATAATTCTGGATTCTTCAGATGAGATGCATATCTTTGTAAAAGCCCTGACATTCAAGCTTATTACCTGGCTAGAATCAAATAACTTTTTTCCCCCCCTTCTTTGTTAGGAATACTAAAGGTAATTTTTCCTGGCCAAAGGAACTTAAGCATTCTCTCTTGCATGTTCCCATTTTTTAAAAAAATGCTTGAGAGCTGCCCCCTCTGGGTTCATGTGCTGTCATGGGAAGCTGGAAGTCAGATTTGCTGATCTGGAGCTGAGCCTTCCCGGGGTGCCCCTTCCAGCTTGCCCCGCCCTCTCTGACTTGAGACAGCCCCTGCACCCAGCTACAGCCAGAAGATGCAGTCTCTGTTCTTTTTTTTTTCTTTTTCTTTTTAAATCTCTCTTGGAAACTTTCAGAACGTGCTACTGATAGCCGTGAATAGTCTGTTGGAACCTGGCTTCTCACTGTAAGATGAAGAGCTAGTGGGTCTGGGTTTTATTTGTTTTTTTTTTTTTCTCCCTCTTTTTTTTTGAAGGGGGGATTTTTTTGGGGGGGTTTGGTTTTATTCTTTTTTGTTTCTCAGCTTGCTGTTTTGACTCCCAACTCCACCATGGGGTTTGAGCGGAGAGCCCTGATTCCAAGGGACCTAGAAGTTAAACCCTTGGTTTGAGTTCTTTTGTTTTCCTTGGGAAAGGTGGTTAAAGATTTCCAGCTGAGGCTTAAATGTCTGTCTTTTGTGAGGTAAGATGGTGGGGGAAAGGAAAGATGGTGGGGGAAAGGAAAACAAGGGGTAGATTACTTTTCTGTTTTGTCAAGTAGGACCTCTGTGAGAAAGACTCTCATCCCTGGTTTTTAGGAAGAATCTCATCCCTCGCTAAGGGGAAGGGCGCAGGCCCCATTCTCTTTCCGTGTTTGAAATCTGACAAACAAAAAGCAGAGTTTTTAGAAGAGAACGATACATATTCATCATCATGGACCCACGAGAGGGAGGAGGAGAAGGAGCCGAGGGCTTGGGTCGCGGTGATGTGAAAGTCATGATATTCTTGTGTTGGCATTCCTGGGAATAACCTGCTCATTTCCTGTCAAACTGGAGAAAGTGTTTCAATGTCGGATCATAAGCTTAGGGCATCCTAGGCTAGCCAGCCAGGGTGAAGCTTTCAATAAAAGAAGTAGAAGGAATCCTCAACTCTTAGCTTCAATGATTGCAGAACAGGGAATGCATCGCTCTCTACTAATCACTTTTGCATTTTCTTTTTTTGTTTTTTGCAGAGTATTGGGAAAGGGTCCTTGTGGTGCATAGACCCAGAATACAGACAAAATCTAATTCAGGCTTTGAAAAAGACACCTTATCACCCACACCCACATGTGTTCAACACGCCGCCCGCCTCTCCTCAGGCATATCAAAGGTAAGGCTCTCAGACTGCGCTATCTCCAAAGTTGTATTATTTGGGCCAAGAAGAGCCCTGAGTGAAATACCGTGTGTGCTGTGTGTGATTTTTATTTATTTATTTTTTAGGGGGCCATGAAGTGAATTATTGTGTGCTGTGTGATTTTTATTCATTTATTCTTAGATTTTGGGTCATACCTGGTGATGCCCAGGTGGTTACTTCTGGCTCGCTCTGCGCTCAGGAATCACTCCTGGCAGTGCTCGGGGGGACCATACGGGAAGGATACAGGGTCTGGTGCGTGCAAGGCAAGGGGACTGTCTCTCCGGCCCCCATCTATGATTTTTAAGTGACCACAGGTAAACAAAAACGACCTTAAGTGCTGTGGAAGGGATATTGTGGAAATTCCTCCAAACCTTACCTAGTCTTTGCTGCGCCGGAGGACCATGTTTCCAGAAGATTCCATGGTGGGTGAAATGTCTTCCTGGGTAGAAACATTGATGGGGAAAGGCGTCCGTGTAAGCGTCTCGTTGTGTCATGTTGGTTGGGGTGAAGATGATGGAGTGAGGCAAGTAGCTGATCTCGCCTCAGGCCAACCTGCCGTCTCCCCCAGGCCTTCCCCGGGGCTCGCTGGCTTGTTGTCCTTCCTGTCTCCATGTGGACACACACCCTGGTGATCACTGTGTTGTGGTTACTCGCTGTTTGCCTCTTCAAGGAAGCCGGCAAAGAACAATGGAGACTTTCTTTCTCCCTTGCCTGCCTGTTCCCTTTTGAGACAATGAGGTTATGGGTGCCAATTACCAGAGAGAACTGTAGGGGAGAGTTCGCCATTCTATTGCTTTAAAGAAAAAAAACAAAGTCACAATGTTTGAGTCCAAACCCTGATCACATGCCACAGAGCCTGATTTTAGACTTGATTATAATCATACCCAGTGTTTACATGGGAAAGAATGCCATGTGTCCCCCCCTACCTGCCCCGCTACCCCCCAGATCCTATGCAGAATACTTTAAAAAAAATGTAAATGCATGGAAATGTTTTGTAATCCCCAGATAAGAGAAGGGATTCCGGGACTGCAGATTTGCGGAATGAACTCCGAGTTTAGCTTCCTAGTCTACTTCTTGGGAGGGTCTTTCTCGGGGCTGCTGCCTGAGGTGCAGCAGGGAAGCTGCGTGGTCCTGGGAACGTGTTAAGGATGTTCTGGAGAAGCATTCCATCACAGACCCCAGACAATCAGTCTTCAGCGAGAGCCGAGAGCCGGGGAGGAACAGCTGGGCTCTCCGAGAAGACTGCTGTAGGTCTGCCTTTGCTAGGCGATTAGCGTGATGGTGGCCATGGCAACGGCAGCGTCCCCATGGCAACGCGTAGTCCAGACAGGTGCAGTTGCATCACAAGCCTGTTTGTTGCCTGGCAAAAGGACAGGCCATTAGTGCTGAGATATACGCTGTTGCCTTAGAAACAAATAACCCTACACAGCAACTACAGCCGGTCTGAAAGATTTTTCGGGGGAGGGTTGTAGCTGCTTTTTGTCTATGTTCATGGGAAGAAAAAAAAAATCAGCGCAAGCACTCATTATTGGAAATGACAACTTGAGGTCATTTCACTGTCGGAGATAAAATAGGATTTTCCGAGGCAGCCCCGCCAACATTATAGAAATGTCCAGAAGGCTAGAGCCATATGGTTGGTTGTTTTCCTTGCGGCTGTAAGCATCTCCCTAAAATGGAAGGGAGGTGGGATAGGGGGTGGGCTGGGGGTGGTGAGTTGCTGGTATATGCGGGAGATGACACTGGTCCTGGGTGTTTTTCACCCCGGGTCTGGTCTTTCTTCCCCTCCTCAGTTTGTACCCTCAAATTATTTCACGTTCTTCTGGAAGTCGCGAGTCTCCCCGAGCTGTTCACGGGGTCACATTGCCGGTTCATTTAGACTAGTATTTTGTTACCAGTTGTGACCCTGAGGGAAGCACAGTAATTATTTAATAATTTGAAGGATTAGAGCTCAGCTCTGGAGGTTGCTGGAGGAACGCATTCCCAGGCAAGAGGCTTTCAGAGCTGGCCGAGCTTAATGACTTCATTTGATTTTTTTTTTTTAATAGAGGCATAAAAAATACAGCCTAAGCAGAGCTTTTGTAATGAAGATCATTTCCACAGGAATACTTCGGAATATGCCCGGCCCCTTTCTCCGGGTCCCTAGCTGCCCTCAGGACACTGGACGTGCCAGGAGATGACAGACCAGCTTCCAGCCTGCCTGGCCAGCTTCAGTGAGAAGGGCTGTCCCTATCTGCCCTTCATGGGGAAATGCTGGTCATAGTAGCATGCACATGTGTGTGTGTGTGTGTGCGCGCGCACGTGCACCCACGCGCATGCCACATGTGGAGGGGGAAATAACAGGGAATGAGCCCACAGTGTTAGACCCTCAAGGCAGGCCCTCTGTCAACTGAACCCTGATCCTGGACCCCTGGTACGTCAAAGCTTGCCTGCTGATGACCTCTTTGATGAGTCTTCCTAAATCAGGTCACATGCTGCCTTCCTGTTCTAGGCGTTTGGGCTGATTAGAAACCCAGAGGCAGAACCTAAGGAAGTATTCAAGAACCAGAGAGTGGGGCATATAGGGGACCCGGGAGCCACCCTGACCCCGACAGTGCTCCCAGGGGGCCTGGCAGGACAAGCTGAGCCACAGAATAGTGTCGTGTTGAGTTATAACTCCAGCTAGAAAATACCCCCTCAAGTCCATTCCCTCACCTGAGCAGTTTTGTAAATGTCTATCTCGCAGTGATTCATCTTTAAAAAAAATCCATAACAACAGCAATTATAATAAAATTTTTAAAAATCCATACCAACAATCGAATCAAGAGAGCGATGGTGTCTGGAGCGATAGCACAGCGGGTACATTTGCCTTTCATGCAGCCGACCCAGGTTCGATTTCCAGCATCCCACATGCACCCCTGAGCACCGCCAGGATTCATTCCTGAGTGCATGAGCCAGGAGTAACCCCTGTGCAATGCCCTGGCAATAACCCTACACAGCAACTACAGCCCAAAAAGCAAAAACAAGAAAAAAGGGGGGAGGGGGAGTGATGGGTTTGCTCCCTAGGGGAAACATTCTCTGACATACCCAGTCATGGCTGGGGGTGTGTGGCGAGGCTGTATAGCTCTCACTGGATACGTGTGAGACCGGCTACAGCTCTTGGCACCACCATCCAAACAAAACACAAACACCTAGCAAAGAGAAGAACAAAAGTAAAAGGCAGACAAGCTTTCTTCTTCCTAAATTTCCAACCAGAGCAGCTCCGGGCTGTCAAGGCCATTCAAACCGGGTGACGTCTGAGAAACTGACCCAGACCCCAGAAGGCAAAGGGGACCTGCCACGACGAATCTCTTAGTGATGGGGTAGCCACTAAGGAAGCACGCAGGACTGTGGAAGATGTGGGTGGGTTAGTGCCGGGGTCCAGCCTTGTGTTCAAAGAACCTGAGCACTGTTGGGCCACACGGTCAGCATCAGAGAAACTGTGCAGGACTCTGTGGGAACTTCCTGTAACTTTTCTAGGAAAGAAAAAGCATCCTGCTAACACACGGATGAGTTGAATTTATCTCTTTAAAATATGCAGCTCCTTTTTTGACATAATGAAAAGTAAAAAGACTGCATTGCTGAACCGTCAGTTGCCAGACCTGCTGCAGCTCTCTCTGTGGCCTTTGCAGCATAAGAGCTGATGGACCAGTTGCGCCCCATGGGGGGCATCCTTGTAATTTGGGTATTACAGTTCTTGGAGCTCCGCATGAGTGAATAGACACTCAACCCAGCCTGGTGGGGTTCCCAAGGCTGAGCTCAGGGAACTTGGACCAATTGGCTTCTCGTAGGCCTCGGCCTCTTTTTCCATGGTGGTTTTCAAATCCAGATCGGGAAAGAGTAGAGAGAGATACTTGCCATCTTAATGGTTAAATTGCTTATGTCTGTCCTTCCACGACATGGAATTTCTCCTGATAGGACGCATGTATCTTTCTTTTTTTTCTTTTTGCTTGCTTTTTGGGTCACACCCAGTGATGCACAGAGGTTACTCCTGGCTCATGATCTCAGGAAATACTCCTGGCTGTGCTCGGGGGACCAAATGGGATGCTGGGAATTGAACCCGGGTTGGCTGCATGCAAGGCAAACTCTCTGCCTGCTGTGCTGTCACTCCAGCCCCAGTATGTGTGTATCTTGATGCTTTTTCTATATCTATTGCCAGGGGGCACCTTTAATCTCTTCCTCCACCTACTCACCACCTTTTGTTTTTGTTTTATTTAATTTTGGGGGGAGGGGTCACACCTGATGATGCACAGGGGCTACTCCTGACTCATGCACTCAGGAATCACTGACCGGGTGGTGCTTAGGGGACCATAGGGGATGCTGGGAATCAAACCCGGGTTGGCCACATGCAAGGCAAATGCCCTATCCGCTGTGCTATCACTCCAGCCCCCTCTCACCACCTTTTAAAGGAACTTTCCGTTTTCTAAGCTTCCACCAAGTGTGCTAAGATAATCTTGATGATTTTGATACCGAATAATGGGGACAGTTATACTAGGTCAGATTATTATCCTATAATCAGATTATGAGAATGGAGTATTTTCAAAAATGCTATTGATGTTCAAAATTGCCACCATGCCCCCGGCCTGACTCCACTGTCTGAGGACTGACCTCACCAAGGTATAATCTGCTGAAAATTCAGGTATGCGGATTTTGTAACTGAAATCTCCAGACTTTCTTGGGGTTGGGATGGGCTACCATCCCCCACCTCCCTGTAATTCTGGAAGCCTTGGCAGTCACATCTACTCCTCAATGCCGCCACCCAACTGAAAAGCTACTCCCACTGTACCATCCCAATATAAATACTGAATGCCCTGAACAAACACCATGATCTCTTGGCACCTGTTTTGCAAACCATAATGCACAAAAAGAAAAGAAGAGAGAGAGAGCAAGAAGGAAACATAGAGGAAGGCTGGGGGTGGGGGGTGGGGTTCTGGGGGATGGTGGTAGGGAAACAGAGCTCT